GCTTAGACTGAAAGGAAAATTTTATAAGATGGTGGTGAGACCTGCAATGCTCTATGGCGTTGAATGTTGGCCTTTAAAAGAGAAGCATAATAATAAGTTAAGTGTTGCTGAGATGAGAATGATTAGGTGGATGAGTGGCTTTACACTTAGAGACAAAATGCGGAATGAATATATTCGTGATAGGGTTGGTGTAGCTCCTGTGACAGACAAAATTAGAGAAAGTCGTCTTAGATGGTTTGGTCATATTAAACGTCGACCATTAGATGATCCGATTAGGAGAGTAGATGTTTTAGATTTGACTTGTGTTAAGAAAGGCAGAGGTAGACCTAGGAAGACTTGGGCTTATTGTATTAAAAATGATCTTAATTTACTAGAACTAAATGAAAATATGACACTAAATAGGACGCAATGGAGAGAAAGGATTTATGTAGCCGACCCCACGTAGTGGGATTAAGGCTTTGTTGTTGTTGTTGTTGATCGTATTTGATAACACAAACCTTCAAATGCTTTTGATTTTTTATAAAGTTTAACTGACATGCATATTATTTTCTTTTTATTGTGTTACCATAATTGGAGAGTATGAATATTTACCAGTTGTTTACCTTACTGTTGTTTTAAATTAACATTACAACTTTAATCAAATGATTAAAAAAAGAGCAATAAAAGAGGAAATGTTTATAGAAGGCGCGGATAATCTGATCTGAGATAAATAAAAACTGCTTTAGTTTAATTTTCTTTCCTGTAATGACTCTTTCATTTGTTAAATATTAGTTATAAAAAATAAATATAGAAAAAATATAATCTTCACCATTTGACTATCTGTACTGGACTTATAGTTAATTCCAAGCCCCGGGTTAGGTTGTGACAAAAGTGATATAAGAGCTATGATTTAAAATTTAATATGAAAGAGCCAATATGATAATTACAAAAAGTTTTTTTAATAATAACAAATTGAAAGTTTAATGTAACTCTAATTAAACAATTATATCCATTCAGACACTCGAGAATTTGGAAGGAAGTTTGATAGAAAAAGATCAAGTACCACCTATTATAAATGTGAACACCGATGCCCTGACCCAGATGATAGCTATGATGACAATTGATTTAGGAGTTCAAACTGTTACTTGGTTGGAATAAAACAATTATTGTGGATAAGTACTTAAAGATATTTCAAGAGCCGTGTCAACCTTTGTTTAAGGGAACTGAAGATTTAATTGAATTAGAGAACTGGTGGTGCGTATAGAGAAGTTAGATAACATAGCATGTCAGGATGAAAAAAGAGTATATTTACTTATATTTCTACCGGATGGAGAAGCTGAAAGGTGGTGGTGTGGGCAGCGTCTGGATAAACTGGTGGATGCACCCACTATGATGATAAGTTGTGAGGATTTTATGGAGCTTTTCAAAGAGTGTTTTGTACCCCTATTTACTTGAAAGCAAAAGCTGTAATTCAGTAATGCAGTATGAATCAGAGTTCATTGTACTGTCAAGGTATGTCTCACAGTTGATGACTATTACAAAAGAGAAGTGTCATAAATTCCTTTATGGATTGAAAGATTTGATTAGATAGCCATTGGTGTCAATTGGAGTTGATGATTTCTCAATGTTGGTAGAGCGGCATAGACGAGTGAAAATTGATTACCAGCTCACTCAGAAGCGTAGAGATATGCATAAGTGGAAGAATATTGATCTGGGAGAGCATGTAAATCGATCAAAGGGATCCATTGAGAAAAAGGTCATGTTCAACTTAACTGGATTTAATAGAAGTATGTCTCAGAGTACTGTAGTTATTTGTGTCAAATTAGAAAGACAAAGTATGGGTGAATGCTTGATGGGCTCCAATGCATGCTACTAATGTCGTCTGTTTGGTCATATAACAAGATATTGTCCATCAGTTAGCCAGGGGCACTAAAGATCAGAAGTCTGGCGGAGCTCCCTTACTGAATATTGCAGGTGGGCAGAGAATGATAGAGTCAACAACTTCAGCTCTCACCCAAGATCAACCTTGAGAGCCAGTTCGACCTCGAGTTTATATCCTTATT